TGAGCCTCAACATCGGGCTTCCAAGTACGTCACTGGAATACACGATCTCCCATACGAATAAAGCTGACACGTTTGGGAGCACTCAGCGGACAGTATCGTCGATTACAAGGCGGCCTGATAATGGCCTACTTGGTTCTGCACGATCGACATCATCTATGCCGCTGTTTAAGGCAACCCAGCAGTAACACGAACTTGAGAGGTCACTCCTTGAAACTGAGAGAACAGTACCGTTGTCTGAATTGCTGCATCAGTTTCTTTTCTTTTCGCCTGTCACCCATGGAATGCCCCCCCCAATCAATCGTTTCTGCACCGACAATAGCGCTATTTATTAGGTTGGTAATAAAGCAGTTTCTAATCTTAAACTTTAAAAATGCACATATCTTGGCTCGTACGTAGCTTTTTATTCAAAATAAAAGCCACTTGAATTGACACAATTTTGCCAATGGGAACCAAGTTTATTTATCCCGGATGAATAAAATTCCCGAGTTCTAGTGGTGATGAAATCGTCGAAGGTGGTTTCCGCATCTCCTTGGGTAGGAGGGTTATCTAGGTGTTTGAAAAAGTTATAATCAGTAGGTGAGAGGTCAGAAGAGTATGGTGGGTGAAGCAAAGTTCTGTAGGCCAGCTTGTGCAACTTCCGCAGGGTTGTTTGTACGACGTACGGCCGAGCGTCTTCATGGAGAAGAATTGGTCCCTTTCTGTTGATCAGTGCCGGGCACTCGTGTTAAAGCTTTCGGTGCATTCCGACAATTTTTAAAATAGTTCTCTGTTGTAATGGTTTCCCCTGGATTCAGAAAGTTGTAATGGATCAGACCAGCCTCAGACTACCAGTCACCAAAACCATTTTGGGGTGCAATTTCAGCTTTGGGAAACTTGATCGTGGTCCAACAATTGAGAGGTTCGTCCTCGATGGTCGTAAAGGATCCACTTTTCATCGCAATTCACAATCCGGTCGAGAGACATGTCGTTTTTATTGCGCAAAGGACAGACGACACCACAATATGACGATTTCTTTGATTTTCATTTAATCCTTACGGCACCCACTTATCAAACTTTTTAATCTCCCTAAAGGTTTTCAAAACGGCACATGCGATACTGCTAAGTCAGCAGCAAGATCTCGAATATTTTGTCCTTGATTAATCGTCGTTCACTTCCACTGGCCATCCACAAAGCTCTTCATCTTCAAGCCCCTGGTAACCTTATCGAAATTTTCGAAACCGCCACTGTGCAGTACAGTTATTAGTGGTTCCAACACAAAATGCACTGTTGATATAATGGGCTGTTTTCGCTGCATTTCGACTAAGTTTAAATTGATACAAGAAAATGGTGCCAATTTGTCTTCTGTCCATGTTGCATTAAATGATCAGTAGAGATGTAAAAACGTGTTTCTGAGCTAAATTATCGCTGTTGTTAAATAGAGAGCAAAAAGGTTTCAAAGTGATATACAAGGTCAATGCAATTTTTTAAATATATTTAAGACAGCTGTTAACTTAAACATATCAAAAAACCGTAATAACTTTATTACCAACCTAAAATGGTTGGATAACGCGCTTAGCACAAGCTCTCCGGCAAACTCACGGGAATGTATAGTTTGTCACCTATTAGTGCTATGAGACTACGCGAAGTGCAGGACTACTGCATTACAAACGATAAGTCCTCCGTTTGACAGCGAAATTAGTGTTTAACGTTTTTCGAGTAAATCAACAGAGAAATCAATACAGATTGTAAAATAGTGCTTCCCAACCCGTGTAACGTCATGGTTCATTGATCGTGCGCTTGCCGCTCTATTTCGGATGTTGGTTGCAAGGGATGTCCGGAAGTATGCGCAACTGATGTGATGAGAAACAGAGCTGAATCAACGACAATCAATCGCTCCTTATCGTCAAAGAAAATGTCACTTGGAGAAGTCCAGGTTTACCGTAATTCATTGAGTTCGGGTAGCGCGTGGCTTGTCTCACACGAAAGACCGATCACATAAATGGAATTCCACTGGTTATGACCGTCCATCAGTATTCCCTTTATTGTATCATCACATCAGTGCAAGCGACATTTAGGGCGCCTTTATTCCTTCTGATGACAGTCGGTTTGGAGGAAATAATTTATACGGTTTTGAACAAGGTTATTGATTTGAAAGCTGCGACAACCCAGTTTTGCTCGGCACTGCTAATGGAGACATGGATGTCCTTTTCGGAGTTTATGTGGAGGCAAGCGGTGCGTAGGATGCTCGGCATTGATGGTAACATTGGCTCCGAGCCGCCACCACTGCCATCGAATTAATGTGCTCTGCACCATTAAAAGGAGTGGAGGAAGATACGCTAAGGGGTGATGTTGACCAAGTCTTGAAGACAGACACTAAAGTGCGGTTGGAGAGTTTGTCTCTCTTCTCCGGACTAGAGGCTGAGCTTAAAGTGCCGATTTGTGGTACGGACGTGGTCATGCTTAGTTCCAAGGATGGAATCCTGGTGTTCACCAAAGGCTGTAGCATTCTTCATGTGTACAAACAGTGTACAGTTAAGGTGACTGCGTTTTGGGCAAAACCGGACTGCATCGCTCACACTGTTATGCCGTCGCATTTTTGTGGCGACTTCTCTGTATATTTTGTCAGAATAATTTAATGCAGCTTACATACGTCACCATCATCGTTATGACTACTGCGTTTCTCTAAAGAGAATACGCGGGTGAGTTGAATGACGTTCTGCGCTACTGAAATGAAGTTATACGACCACGTACCGATTGCGAAAGCCAATACAACCTCAGAGTTCAGCATTCTTACAATTCTTAGCGTCGGTCACCAGCTGTTTGTTACCGACTGCGTGTGGCCACGAATGCACGTGCGTGAGGTTGATCGGTTAAGTTCAGCTGAACAACTATGATCTGAGCATGGAAGTGCGGTGGATCCAGTTGGCACGAATCACATCGCAAGAATAACAATAAACAACAACGGCAATATAAGTGGGGTCAAAGGCAAATAGAATGGAAAAATGGAAACAAGATAGTGCGCTAAACTAATCAGAATAGAAGGAAATTAACGACCAGATGCAAGGAACCGAATGCAGGAACGGCACTGACTACGTGACTGCACCATGTCTAATACGGTGTGGAACATTCCGAAACACCCATCCACGAAGATGAAAAGCACCAGCTTGACAAAGTCTCCCAGTCAATCCCTTCATGCCTCTATGCCTCGTTAAGTGCCTGCTTATCCTAGCTGAGAAATGCGACCGTTTAACCGCAGAAGCAGAGCAGAGGATAAACAATAAGATTACTTCAATGGAAGCGAGTATGCACCACAGAAGCGCAGCGGCTTCTAAGCAACGGAATGCTGAACAATCCACTTCCCCTGAACCGCACTCAGCCACCTCTCCATCGTTGTCTTCTCCAACTTTGGTAGAACGCCGGGCGAAAACAGACTGTACCTACGTGAATCAAACAGTACTCACAGCAACGAAAATCAGGCACCATTCAAAACGTCTGGTTAAGCAAATTCCACTAGACCTGACATCTAGCATTAACAAGGATGAAGCGGCCAAAAATCAACCCTCGGTACCTGTAGCTCAAATATCTCTTGTCGAGACTAAGCCTCCCAGAACATCAGTTACCTATGCGGAGATTGTTGCAAAGGTAAGCCGGGTGGCCGCCGTTGCGGCCTCTTCCATTGTGAACACCGTTAACGCGAACAAAGAGAAAAACAGCAATCACTTGTCAACGAATCAGGACAAATGAGTACCATAACTTGTAGATCGACAAAAAAGGGATTCAACAACAGCGCCCGGACTGTTATATGCTCAAATGTCCCTGAATCTACCACCATCACATTGCGGGATAAGTTATCAGACGACCAAGACCAATGGTACTCATTGTGCATGCAGATGAGTATCAAAGCCAAGCCCATAAAATTATTACGAATTACTCGTCATCCGAAATCGCCATACTATGGCGAACCCAGACTTACTCGAGTAACTCTAGAATCCTCCACCGACGTAGAAGACGTTTTGTTCTCTGCAAGCACGCTAAAAAACACGGATCCTGTGGGATACGTATCTATCCTGATGTCCCTTGGAGCGCGCGACAATCTAAAAGCAACATCGAAAAAGGGCACAACAGGCAAGAGCGCCTAAACACAATCTTCATACATGGCGTGCCAGAACATCCTTCCAACGATGTTCAAGAGACCGGAAAGCACGATTTAGAACAGTGGTGGTTCATTCGTGAAACACTTTCTGTGGATAATATTGTGGCACTATCGCTCACCAGGATACCTCTCTCTCACCAAATTATAGAGGATGCGGCCCTAAAATCCTAAAACTTGTGGTTCAGTCAGAGCAACAAGCAAAGGATATTTTGGATCGATGGCGGAGAAATTGGAAACATCTTCCTTCCGAAATTCGGTTAAAGGTTGCAAAAGCTTTGCACAGCTCAAATATTAAAGCAACTGAAGCAGCAAGCATACCGACGAATGTACAAAAGCGTAACTTGACTGCTGCTTTAATTGACTCTGACGTAGGCCTAAACGAAGGTTGGAACGCACCTTGGCCAAATCAAGTTGCAAACGAGGTATCATCATCCCCCCCCCCCCCCCCCCCCCCCCCCCCCCCCCCCCCCCCCCCCCCCCCCCCCCCCCCCCCCCCCCCCCCCCCCCCCCCCCCCCCCCCCCCCCCCCCCCCCCCCCCCCCCCCCCCCCCCCCCCCCCCCCCCCCCCCCCCCCCCCCCCCCCCCCCCCCCCCCCCCCCCCCCCCCCCCCCCCCCCCCCCCCCCCCCCCCCCCCCCCCCCCCCCCCCCCCCCCCCCCCCCCCCCCCCCCCCCCCCCCCCCCCCCCCCCCCCCCCCCCCCCCCCCCCCCCCCCCCCCCCCCCCCCCCCCCCCCCCCCCCCCCCCCCCCCCCCCCCCCCCCCCCCCCCCCCCCCCCCCCCCCCCCCCCCCCCCCCCCCCCCCCCCCCCCCCCCCCCCCCCGCCCCCCCCCCCCCCCCCCCCCCCCCCCCCCCCCCCCCCCCCCCCCCCCCCCCCCCCCCCCCCCCCCCCCCCCCCCCCCCCCCCCCCCCACCCCCCCCCCCCCCCCCCCCCCCCCCCCCCCCCCCCCCCCCCCCCCCCCCCCCCCCCCCCCCCCCCCCCCCCCCCCCCCCCCCCCCCCCCCCCCCCCCCCCCCCCCCCCCCCCCCCCCCCCCCCCCCCCCCCCCCCCCCCCCCCCCCCCCCCCCCCCCCCCCCCCCCCCCCCCCCCCCCCCCCCCCCCCCCCCCCCCCCCCCCCCCCCCCCCCCCCCCCCCCCCCCCCCCCCCCCCCCCCCCCCCCCCCACCCCCCCCCCCCCCCCCCCCCCCCCCCCCCCCCCCCCCCCCCCCCCCCCCCCCCCCCCCCCCCCCCCCCCCCCCCCCCCCCCCCCCCCCCCCCCCCCCCCCCCCCCCCCCCCCCCCCCCCCCCCCCCCCCCCCCCCCCCCCCCCCCCCCCCCCCCCCCCCCCCCCCCCCCCCCCCCCCCCCCCCCCCCCCCCCCCCCCCCCCCCCCCCCCCCCCGCCCCCCCCCCCCCCCCCCCCCCCCCCCCCCCCCCCCCCCCCCCCCCCCCCCCCCCCCCCCCCCCCCCCCCCCCCCCCCCCCCCCCCCCCCCCCCCCCCCCCCCCCCCCCCCCCCCCCCCCCCCCACCCCCCCCCCCCCCCCCCCCCCCCCCCCCCCCCCCCCCCCCCCCCCCCCCCCCCCCCCCCCCCCCCCCCCCCCCCCCCCCCCCCCCCCCCCCCCCCCCCCCCCCCCCCCCCCCCCCCCCCCCCCCCCCCCCCCCCCCCCCCCCCCCCCCCCCCCCCCCCCCCCCCCCCCCCACCCCCCCCCCCCCCCCCCCCCCCCCCCCCCCCCCCCCCCCCCCCCCCCCCCCCCCCCCCCCCCCCCCCCCCCCCCCCCCCCCCCCCCCCCCCCCCCCCCCCCCCCCCCCCCCCCCCCCCCCCCCCCCCCCCCCCCCCCCCCCCCCCCCCCCCCCCCCCCCCCCCCCCCCCCCCCCCCCCCCCCCCCCCCCCCCCCCCCCCCCCCCCCCCCCCCCCCCCCCCCCCCCCCCCCCCCCCCCCCCCCCCCCCCCCCCCCCCCCCCCCCCCCCCCCCCCCCCCCCCCCCCCCCCCCCCCCCCCCCCCCCCCCCCCCCCCCCCCCCCCCCCCCCCCCCCCCCCCCCCCCCCCCCCCCCCCCCCCCCCCCCCCCCCCCCCCCCCCCCCCCCCCCCCCCCCCCCCCCCCCCCCCCCCCCCCCCCCCCCCCCCCCCCCCCCCCCCCCCCCCCCCCCCCCCCCCCCCCCCCCCCCCCCCCCCCCCCCCCCCCCCCCCCCCCCCCCACCCCCCCCCCCCCCCCCCCCCCCCCCCCCCCCCCCCCCCCCCCCCCCCCCCCCCCCCCCCCCCCCCCCCCCCCCCCCCCCCCCCCCCCCCCCCCCCCCCCCCCCCCCCCCCCCCCCCCCCCCCCCCCCCCCCCCCCCCCCCCCCCCCCCCCCCCCCCCCCCCCCCCCCCCCCCCCCCCCCCCCCCCCCCCCCCCCCCCCCCCCCCCCCCCCCCCCCCCCCCCCCCCCCCCCCCCCCCCCCCCCCCCCCCCCCCCCCCCCCCCCCCCCCCCCCCCCCCCCCCCCCCCCCCCCCCCCCCCCCCCCCCCCCCCCCCCCCCCCCCCCCCCCCCCCCCCCCCCCCCCCCCCCCCCCCCCCCCCCCCCCCCCCCCCCCCCACCCCCCCCCCCCCCCCCCCCCCCCACCCCCCCCCCCCCCCCCCCCCCCCCCCCCCCCCCCCCCCCCCCCCCCCCCCCCCCCACCCCCCCCCCCCCCCCCCCCCCCCCCCCCCCCCCCCCCCCCCCCCCCCCCCCCCCCCCCACCCCCCCCCCCCCCCCCCCCCCCCCCCCCCCCCCCCCCCCCCCCCCCCCCCCCCCCCCCCCCCCCCCCCCCCCCCCCCCCCCCCCCCCCCCCCCCCCCCCCCCCCACCCCCCCCCCCCCCCCCCCCCCCCCCCCCCCCCCCCCCCCCCCCCCCCCCCCCCCCCCCCCCCCCCCCCCCCCCCCCCCCCCCCCCCCCCCCCAGTCTATAAGACGAGTAACTGCCGACCTCCCATCGGTCGGCATTCTCCCACACTTGACAGCTTCACCTCTCTGCGGGCTCCTAGAGACCGAGAAACTGGCCTGCTTGTATACAAATGCTCAGGGACTTTCTAACAAACTGGCTGAACTGAAAGATCGCCAAGCTTCCGGCTCGTATGATGTCATTGGTATCACCGAGACATGGTTGCACACGGGAATGACGGACGCTGAAGTGTCGCTACCCGGCATGTCGCTGATCCGGAACGATAGGCTCACAAAAGGAGGAGGGGTAATCCTGTACTACCGAAACGACTTACAGTGCGAAGCCGTGGAGGATTCAGATTCGCAGTTCCCCGACTCTCTTTGGTGCCGGTTGCAGTTAAAAGGCAGGGACGCTTGCCTTATTATCTTGGTGTACCGCGCCCCTAACTCAACACCCGAAACCGACTACCACCTAATGGCTGCTTTAAGGTGCAGTTTGCAACCGAAGTACACTCACATTCTTATCATGGGTGATTTCAACGTACATTGTTTAGAAGCCCCTGCCACAACCGGCGAACAATTCAAAACCGATTTACAAGATCTAGTAACTACTGCTCCTCTTTACAACCACATCACTTTGCCCACTCGGTTCAGAACTGGTAACAGGCCATCTGTGTTGGATCTTGTGCTTACCAACGAGGAGCATATGATTGATGCGTTGGTTTTAGACTGCCCGTTGGGTCGCAGTGATCACGCAGTGATCAGTTTCAACTTCGTCTGCTATGCAGAATATCGGAATGATAAAGATGAGACTGTGCGAACCATCACAAGGTACGACCGACTCTCCCAGCTAGTCAGCGCCACAACATGGTCTTTCCTCGAAGAAGAACCCCCAGAAGTCGCCTGGCTCGAGTTCGTCAACACATTCAGTCAGCTGATTGCACAGGCTTCAGAGATAAAAGCTTACAATAAGTGCAAATCCGTTTCTTTCGTTAGGAGCAGAACCCGAAAATGGATGACAGTACGCAACGCAGCATGGCGAGTGTACAGAGAAGCTCCAGCACCAGAAACGTGGGACAACTACGTAGCCCAACGTAACCACTGCACTCAACTGTTAAGAGAAGACAAAGCCGCCTATCAGCAGAACATCGCAAAAAACCTTCAGTGCTAACCACAAACTGCTGTACAAGCACGTTAATAGCCTACGAAAGGTGAGGCAAGGATTTCCTCCACTCAAGACGGCTGATGGCCCAACCAGAACGTCTATGGAAGCTGCAAACGCGCTGCAGATGCAATACGCCCCCACGATTCAAACGGTCTTGCCACCAAGCGATCTACCAAGCTTTGTCTTCTGCTCACCAGGACTAACCCACGTCAGTTTTACCGCAGAGGCTGTATTGCAAAAGCTGACCTCTCTACGCAAACACAGCTCGCCGGGTGTCGACGCCATTCGTCCTGAGGCATTGGGAGTAGCAGCAAACCAACTGGCAGGACATTTAGCTCAGTTTTTCCAGCACTGCTTAGACCAGAACCAACTTCCCGCCATGTGGAAGCTTTGAATAATAAGCCCGATTCACAAAGGTGGAAGCAGATCTGATCCCTCCAACTACCGCCCAGTAACCCTTCTTCCTATACTATCCAAGGTCATGGAATCTATAGTTGCCGATGCACTGGTGTGCTATCTGGAAAACTGCAACCTCATCACTCCTGAACAGCACGGTTTCCGTCGACAGCGGTCATGTACAACTAATTTACTAATTGCACGCAGTAGTTGGACCGAGGCAGCCGACGCTGGAGAAGGTGTTGATGTGATCTACCTGGATTTTTCCAAGGCTTTCGATCGTCTAGACCATCGGATACTACTATCCAAGCTACAGCATTACGGGATCGGAGACCCTCTTTTAAGCTGGATCGCCAACTTTCTATTTCAAAGGCAATTAGTGGTCAGAGTTCGGAGCTCTTTATCGGACCCCATACAAGTCGAGTGTGGTGTGCCGCAAGGCTCGGTTCTAGGTCCACGTTTGTTTCTGGTGTTTATTAATGACCTTGCACAGGGAATCGCTTCAAACTTCCTAATGTTTGCCGACGATATCAAGATCTGGCGCAGGATCCAGGCGAACGCCGACCAACATGTGCTCCAAAGTGACTTAGATACAGTGTATCAATGGTCGATCCAAAACTTATTGCATTTCAACGTCAGTAAATGCAAGGTGCTTTCCATCCGACATCAGGGCAGCTACTCATACCGACTCGGAACGGATGTACTGCAACAATCAACTCTCGAACGTGACTTGGGTGTCCTGGTTCAAGATGACTTGGGTTGCTCCAGGCAATCGGAAAAGGCCTCGAAGACCGGGAATCAACACGTTGGGCTGTTGAGGCGGGCATTTGGACAAATAAACAGCTCCATATTTCGACAAATGCTTAGTGCGTATGTTCGCCCCCACGTCGAATACGCAATTCAAGCCTGGCATCCATGGCTGAAACACGACCTTAACGCACTGGAGCAGCCTCAACGCCGGGCATCTAAGAACGTAACTGGAATGCGCAATCTGTCCTACCAGGAGAGGCTGCGACGACTAGGATTGTTCAGTGGAAGCTATCGCAGGCTACGAGGCGACCTGATTATGACATACTTGATTCTGCGAAATCCACATCATGTGTGCCGCCCTTTACTGCAACTCAGCAGCAATACAAACCTGAGGGGCCACTCATTAAAACTCGCAGAACAATACTGTCGTCTGGAGTGCCGCAGAAATTTCTTTTCCATCCGTGTCTGTCACCCGTGGAATGCTCCCCCAGAATCGGTCGTCTCTGCACCGACACTAACAATATTTAAAAGACGGTTGGACGATGCACTCATCCACTTACACTTTGTTACTTAACACTATGTCTCCATCCTACACCTGGAGTTTACCCTGGAATTATTTGTTGTTAACTGTGGGTGTTGTGAATCTAAGTGGATCGCAGGACTGCAGCGAAGCAAACGATAAGTCCTTATTTTCGTATTTAAAGTGTTAACTATTTTACTATCCCTTTCATCATAATTATTATGTTGATATCCCCACCAACTATCCAACGGGGCTTGTAAAGCAACGCTTCTTAACCCGTATAAATTCATTGTTCATTGAACCGAAGCAGTACTAAATACAGTCAGCAACAGCTTTACGAATTTCGTAAATTGTGCTATGTCGCCTCGATTTTTAAGAACCAATTAAGCGCTTCGTGCGGT